GTTGCTTACAAATAATATAAATATAAAGTGTACAGTCAATTTGAACTTCTGCACCCAACAGTTCCACAAACTGCAGTAAAAGTTGCCCTTTGAAAACTTTTTCAAGTAGCACTGGTGAACTAAAATGATTTAATTTCTAAATTTTACTTTGTGAGACCTTTTTGGAGCATCCTTACACTTTGACTTTGTAACCAGCTTCGCTGTTTTTTTTCTTTTGCTTTGGTCTAAATGTTAAGATCTTTTGTTGACAACTGTAGCTGGGTTCTAGAAATTTCTTAAAAAAATGTATGACCTTAAATGCCACACACACTATATAGCTAGCAACTTGGAACTCACTAAAATTAACCAATAAAAGTTCCTTCTTGACAGTTCCACAAACTCAACTAAAAGTTGCCTTTTGAAAACTTTTAAAGAAGCACTTAAGCTGGTTAGCTAAAATGGTTTAACTTTTTTAATGTCATCTTGTGAGACCTTCTTGGAGTGTCTATATGACACTTTGACAAATCCTTTCTTTTAAGAGTGCTTCAACAACCAACTTCACTAGACCTTTTCTCTCTTTCTTTTTGGATAGTGTGACTTTAAATCCAAGAAACACACAAGCAACTTGGAACTCACTAAAATTTACCAATAAAAGTTCTTTTTTTTTCAGTTCCACAAACTCAACTAAAATTTGCCTTTTGAAAACTTTTTAAGAAGCACTAGCTGGTGAGCTAAAATGGTTTAATTTTTTTAATGTCATCTCGTGAGACCTTTTTGGAGTGTCCATTTAACACTTTGACAAATCCTTTCTCTACAAGTGCTTCAGCAACTATCTTCACTAGATCGTTCTTCTCTTTTTTTGTTGTTGTAATTTTAAGAGCTTTTGCTTAAGACTGCAGCTGGGTTCGTGAAATTTGAGATATTTGAATTGCATTAAAGGCCACGCACACAACCAACTTGGCAGTATCCTCATCAAGATCTACGAAAGATTACAAACTCCTCTGAAACAATTTCATTACATTTGGGGGGCAAATGTTTTTTTGGGGGCGTGCAGATATATTTTACAGTGTAATGCATACCCTCGTTTTCATCGGATTCTTCTACACTTTCTGTGTCTCCAGAGTTATTTGTCTCTTCAGAGTCTTCAATCTCTTCATGATCAGCACTTGATCCACTAGCTGAACTTGAGCCACCAATATCATTATCAGTACTAGTGCTGTCAGAACTTGTTCCTTGATCCACTTTCCTTTTAGGAGTCCGTTTATCCGGCTGCAATGTCAAAAAAATCATGTAAATGGTTGTACAGAAACATTAGCTGTTTTTTTTTCATCATAATTTGTTAACTTATATGGGTTTAAGTTAGTAGCAATATGTTCATTTAGATGTTCTTTGTTGTAAAGCAAACAAAATCTTTTCCGTAGGTTCGAGCTCCTTCCAAATTAAGGTCTGCATGCATGAATAAGAAATAATTGGTCAATATATAAAAATTAATGTTATTGACATTAAGCTCACCTGAGAATAGTCATGTCCTTTCCTTTTATGTCTCCTTCTTTCATTAAGAACGTCTAAGATATGTTGTTTGATACCCTCTTTGCCAAAGTTTAAAGGTGGAAACGAGCAATCCTCCTTGAGGTCATTAACAAGATCATTCAACTCGTCAACAGCGACCTTGTTCTTCTTAAAATTCGGGATGTCGTTCCCAGGCCATCTATTAATTGCCGCAGTTCTGATAGCTTTTCTCCTAATAAGGAAACGGATTTAAAAAAATTGTGGAAATTTATATTCAATATTTAAGACAACCATTCATACATAGATTTATTAAATTGTGACGGTTTGAAATACAAATACTTCCTCCTTGTTCGAGAAACTACTGCTACATTATGCATTTAAATTTGTTTTTAAACACTTCGAGCAAATACAATCGGTTGAAAAATTTCTGTAATGAAGTTAGAAAATAGAATTAAAAAAGGACACATTCCTGACAGTTACTTACTTGGTCTTGTAAATTCTTCGTGCAGTTTCACCTATTTGCAGCAGCTGCGCTTTGGAGGGCTTTTTGGGTTTGATTGTCGTCACTTCAAAACCAGTGGACCCGCTCTCGGCAGAACTATTGACCACGGAGCTTAATTTTAGCTGGTCGGCAACTGTAAGAAGGCCGCAGGCTTCGTACTGTTCTTGGGATGCACGTTTAGAGAGAAGGACCAAGGTTTTTCCATCAACCTTTTGGGCTGTTTGCATAAAATCAAAACGAGCAGTAAGAAAAATTGTTGAAGCTTAAATTGTATGAACACATCTGAAAAGTTATGTACCCTACACAATGTATTCGATGCAACAAGCTGCACAATTACGTGATATCCGCTTTCATAACTCTGGGAAACCTCACCAACTCATAAAGAACATCTCCATTTTCAACAAGAATTCTGCATATGATATATTATTTCCTGCTTTTCGAACATATTTGAAAATTGGAAAAGTGTCATAATCAATGGAAAATTATTGGGGAAGTTCATTGGGGACATTTTTAACGTACAATTATTTCGCGCCAAAACCAAACTAGTATCAACCTGTATCAACGCAATGCAAATCAGTTCCCGAAATGACAAATTCTGTGTTCACTGTGAGAAATTGTTAAAAATCCTTCCAGCTTTATCACGGTAAGTTAAAATAGTATAACAGACAATAATTAAAGGGAATTTAGGCCATTTCAATTCACTGTAAAATACATGTGTAAGATTCAGTGACGAAATCTACAAATCGATTCTGACACTTGTTGAACGTACCTTCGAACTTTTCCGCTACTTCAGTATTGAAGTGCTTTTCTATTAAAATGAACACTTCACGAACATCCATTTCTTCCACTGGTTTTTCGGCGTTCATTATGTCACGATTTATTTGTAGAACTAAAGACCTAATAGCTTCCCAATTTGTATAACAGCCCTCGACATCAATCGACAGAAAGACAGAAGTAGTCTTCGCAGCGCGCCCTGCTAAACAATGTACAGCGGGGAGTTACGCGGGGGGGATTGACATACTGCGACATGATTGGCTGGACGTGGATATGCAGGGATGTGATTGGTGCAAGAAATCGTTGCGCGGGAAATTTGGCGCTTTGTGATTTTCGCTCGATTTTTTCGCACTCAAAATCATGGAAGCTGATAGTAATAAAAGACGACGAATTGATGATGAGGCTGTTGCTTGGACGATAGATGATATCGTCTGCTGCAACTGTTCAGAGCTAAAATCCAGACATGTACATTGTCCTTGTTCCAAGTGTAATGGTGCTGCAGTTGCACGTTCAGTAGAGCATTCTCACTGGCAGCAACAACAACAAGAAATAGCTGATATTGTGGTGGACAGGTGAGAACAAGCTAATTACTGTAAATATTATTTGATTTGACGTTAAGCCATAATATATTGTGCTTTATGAAATAAAGTGTTCGTTCTCTTGCACCTATGTAACAATTATTTAGACTTTCAAATTCAGCTGTCAGATTAAATAATGTAATCAGCAACACTAGAAACACACCTTGCTAGATGAATTACAATATGAAGAAGTTTGCTTCAGCCCATGAACTCTAGATATATTTTTATTTTCAAACAGAGTGGAAGATCCTGGTGACACTAATAATGACTCTGGCATTGATGAGTGTATCTTACCACCGTCTGGTGATGATAACCTCACTCATGATCACTGTAGTGTTCTTTCTGAGAACCAAACTAGTGCACAAAATTTATGTAGCAGGCCATGCTCACCTGACTCAATGGCGTCAGACACTACTGATAACAACGAAATTGATCATGATGATATTGAAATTACAATTGCTATACTAAAGTCTTTGAATTTAGTGGATCAAATGAGTGGATCCATCTCAGATTTTGAAGACATTCTCCAATTTTCTAAGGAGTTTTTTTGTCGAAATGACAGAAAATTAGAGGAAAGATGGCCAAGAAATTGGCAAGAGACTCAATCAGTTCTCAAAAACTGTGGATACAAAGCCCCAAGAGAACTTTATGTTTGCCTGGACGAGAGCCACTATGCACAGTGGGATGTCATGGAAAAGGCAGACGAAACGTGCAGACATTGTGGTAAGGCAGGAAAAATTAAATATTATTACCTGGGTATCTCTGACAAAGTTGAACTGTGGTGTGCTAACCGTGATATGTGTAAGAAAATGATGGCCCACTGGAGAGAGAAAGATCACTGGATTGAAGGCGAAGGTGCAAACTTTACACTAAAAGAGATATGGGATGGTGAAAGATTTAATGAACTCAGTTGGTTCTGGAAACCAGATTCTGAATGGATGCTTCCTGTGAAATGTAAATTCTGTACCAACATAATTAGTGTCGATGAAATGAAGGAGTATCCCCAAGAAGATGGAAGGTATGAAATCACATGTCCTGAATGTGGAACAAGGTGGGAGCAAACACCATCCTATGCCACAGGTGACCCCTGCAACATTGCTCTTATTGGGCACTGGGACGGATGGCAACCTTTCGGATACCCTGGAGCACATAGTTGTGGTAATTATAATTTCTATTTAACAATTTTTATGTTCTTCCTTTAGCGTTTTCCGGGGGGGGGTACTCCTGAAAATTTTGGATAGGGGTGTACATGTGCTGCGAAAGTTCTTGAACCCGGCCTAACCCTATACCCTTTTACCACCGGCCAATAATTATAAAGAGTTGTTCCTATCAATTTCTGTCACATCTACAATTTATAAAACTTCTTGGTAAATGTGGCTACATCTTTGGGATACAAAATTAATTGATCCATTCATTTATACCTTTTAGTTAGAGCCCACTTGATTGATTCTAAAATATCACTTTAACAGACATGAGTATTGAATGTTTCAATATGGTATTTCAGGGTTCAACATTAACTTTTGAGGTAACTTGCCCCATTGGGCAACTGCCATTTAATTTTTAGTTGCCCCCCAAAAACTGTACTTGCCCTGTTCTAAAAGGTAGTTGCCCACTGACATTAAAATAAAAATTGCTTACAGTAGTGAGTATGGTGTGTTTTATTGTCTCTGAAAATTTGGGCGTCGTTGTCGCTCTCCTTTGTCCCACCAGTGTTGCAAGGTGCGAGCAGCATTGTATGATTCCAAATCTGGGCCATCAATAGAGATTCTCATTAAGTTATCAAGGGTTTCTGTTTCCAGGCGTGATCTCCAATCTGATTTGATACGTTTCAAGGTGCTAAAACCACGCTCACAACATGCCGTGGCCAATGGTAACACAAGCATTATCTCCACTAGCATGAGGATGTTAGGGAATCTTTCTGAATATTCTGCAAAGATTCTCTGCCACATGGGAAGCATCCTCAATTGGCTATGATTTCTCTTAATACAAACTTTGAGTTCTTGCCATTCTTGATCCACCAATTCCAAATCAAAATCATTTCTTTCAAGAAGTAGCTTGAAATGATCAACAAGAGTGTTCAGTTCTTGTTCCCCATACAGTGTCAGTTCATCATCACGATCAGGCCACAGGCTAGTGTTGAACATGTCAAAAGCAGCAATAACATCATTGGTATTCACATTAGCAAACCTGGTGTTTACATAGGCAACCATGGACCCAATTACTCTTTCTTTAAGCCTAGTGAAGGCAGCAATATCTCCATCTTGTCTGTTGAGTTCAACACCTTTGAAATGGTTACCATGATCTCCCACAGCTTCCAGAAACTGTGAAAGCTTTGCACCAGGTCTTACCACCAAGGCCTGCATAGACAAGCGAGTGCGTTCAATGGAATCTTTCACCTCCGCTAAAGTGACTGCGTCTTTCTGCATTACCAGGCTTAAATGACTGACAACATCAAGTGCATCAAGCATAAAGTGCATGAAAAGTACCTGTTTGAAGTCAGACATCTGTGTGGTGATTTTTCGGGCTCGTCCTTGCATCACAGCACTGGCACCATTCCCTTGAGCAGCTGTGTTCTGAAAATGTGTGTAAATGATTGCAAAGTTGTGAAGGAATACCTTCAGTCCCCGGTGAAGGTGTGGGGTCCATCTTGTACCAAGTAAACTTACAGGCTTCAGTACACTAAGTTCCAGAACTTGGGCTAGCTCATTTAGTTCTCGTAAAGCCTTTGGAGAATAGTGATAATGTTTATAAATCCCTTGAAGAAGATCCTTCAGTTCTGTTAAAATGCTTTCATCCTTAAATGCATCAAGTATTGCAAGTTCCAATTTGTGCGCCACACAGTGCATTTCAATGAGGTGTGGGACATCATCTTTGATTTTCTTGAGTACTCCATTCTGTCTACCCATCATTACAGAAGCACCATCAGCACCAAATCCAACTAGTCCATCTTTCCAATTAATTACATTGGCATAATTAAATCCATTGTCAATTGCTTGCAAAATCCCATCAGCATTTGCATGTTTAACTGACTGCACAGTTAAAAATCTATTCACAGGTAACCCATTGTTAAGATACCTGACAAACAAAAGTTCTTGTTCTATAATACCAGAGTCTGTGGAACCATCTGCCATTGCTGAAAAGAAGCGAGGGCTTGCATTGTTTAGTTTTTCACTTAAGTCAGCTTTTAAAATTTCTGCAGATGATTCAATGAAGTTTTTACATGCATGATCATTGAAATAGGTGTTACCAAGCTCTACATCATTCTTTATTTGAAGCTCACACAAGCTCTTAAAACTGCTGAAGGGCATCTCTTCTTTTGCCACAAAGTATGCTGTGTTAAACAATTTCATCAACTTTCCTTGAACAGCACTTTCCATATTTCTCAAACCTTGTTCAATTGGGTTTTGTGGGTTACGTTTTGAGCGGTAAACATCAGCGCATCGCAAGTGTTGCTTGCTTTTGTTATGGGCACGAATGACACCAATTCGGAAATTATCTGAACCCTTGTAGAATGAGCTATTCTTGTCTGCATGTTCATTTACTTCCAAACAGTATTTACAGTACATTTTACCTCCAGCAAACTGGATCCAAGGAAAATCCTTTTCCCATTTTGGAAGGAACTTTCGTACTCTCGAAGTGCTGTCGTACTTTTTAGAAGCTGTTAAGTTGCTACAAACTTTTTTGGCAGGCGGCTGGAGATTATCGGATGGTTCTTTGTCTCGTTGTGGTTCTTTGTCCGACTTAGAGCTAAAAAATCGAGTAATTTTACCCGCCATTTTGAACACATGTGCATTCAAGATCTTTCTGTGCATCCTCTCATGAAGTGTACCGCTGACATGAGTGACGCATTTGCGATCTCACTCCCTGACGAGCGTTGAAAATCAAGGTGCTTTTACTGTTTAGCTACATACAAAAAAGACAACTTTTCTTGGTTTTCTGTTTTCTTTATTATTTCTAAGTGATTTAAATTATTATTTTTATTATTACTTCCAAGTTCCAGCAGTTGCCCTGCATGGAGGAAGCCAGTTGCCCACTGGGGCAACTGGCCTGAAGATTTCAGTTGCCCAAGCCAAATTTTACATGCCCCCGGGCAATAGGACACCCGTTAGTTTCGAACCCTGTATTTGCAGGTGCAATAGAAGTGACCATTGCAAACATGGCCAAAGCTGAGCGATGCAGTACTGATCAGATATATGTAGTAGGTTTTGTACCTTCTCACCAGCTACCCAAAAGTCGGCCTTGCTCACTGGATCCCTTCTTGCATCCTCTCATCAGTGACATCGAAGACATCTTTATCGATGGTATGAATCCAAGTTGCAATATACCGTCTGATAAGCCATTGATGGCACACCCAGTTTCTATTATAACATTTATCTACCAGTATTCAGTACAGGTAGTCATTTATCATAATTATACATTTATTTAATATACATGCTTATGTACTGGAAACCATGCAGACCACTTCTATTCTAAACTTAATAATTTGTTTTAGTTTCAAAAAAACTAGAAAAAAATAGTCAAGACCAAATTTCATTTGAATAATTTAATTAATTAACCAAAACTTGCATGCGTGTGCAATAGCAACTTCTTTAAACATGCATTTTTTTTTTCAGGTCTTGAAGTTGACTATGTTGAGTCATTTCCTGGTCTTCCAGCAGGAAGGATCATCTTGCGCTTCTTGATTCTGCTATGGACAGGTGACTATCCTGCACAACATGAAGTAGGGAAGTTCATCAAACATGGTATATTACCATGCCGTAGAGACAAACTAAAAGGTAAATTAGACACAATTTATTCATGTATGATTTACAGTGTAGCACTCTACTGAAATTATTCTAACATTAATCTGAATTAGTCTTTTCAGTAGTAATAATTAATGTAAAAGTAATGATATTGTTTAATTTTTGGCAAAAATTCTGATAGGTTAATAAAATATCGTGTTTTTTTTATGTACACTTGTGTTTATTGTATTTTTGTAAAATAATGTTTCTAGAAAATGCTGTGCATATAATTGCATATTGCAAAATAATTAAATACCAGCTGGTGAGTAAGAATGAATTCAAAGCAAAATGGTTTATCATATTTCTGAAGAAAAGATTGGTAATATGCTGTCATTTCTTTATTCACATTGGTTTTTGGTCAGTTTCTTGTCTGAAATAAAAGTCCATTTTATTCAATAGGTACTATCAATCCAGAGGGTGGAAGCACATACTATTATGTTAATAATCGGTACCACGCCAGATTTGCATGGGAGGAGCGAAAGCTGGAAGAAGACTTGAAAACGATGAAAGATATAAATGAGGAAGACCGCAAAACTGTTCGGGCAGAAAAAAGCAGGAACAGTGGTTATACTGGATTAAGCGTCCTTTATCGACTGCACAAACTTTATGGATTTGACATTTTCAAGGATCTTGTGTATGACACTATGCATAACCTCCCTTCAAATGTCATAGCAGCACAACTCAAAAGCTTCATCACTCTTGAGAAGATTGACAGTAAATTAGTTGACCAACGTCTACGCTTCTTTCCTTGGACTGCAGGTCTGTAATAAACAAGAATTTATTCTTTTGTCATTAACATCTTAAGTTATTAATTTAACATTAATTGCATTAATACATATGCAAACTAATAAAATGCCTCCGGTTTTTAAGTGTCAGAAGTCCCAGTTTACTTCTCATCTTCTGGGTGCATGCGGTTCTGTTTGTTTTGAGTATGGAGCGCATTGCTTGATTTTGAAGTCTTTCCAGACTGTCTGTCATACCCTTAGAGCATTCCATCCACACTGTGCATCCATAGTCAAGGATTGGTAGCACTGTTTGCTTATAAATCTTCAGCAGCACATCTCTGGTTAAGTAACCAGAGTCTGTTGATGAGTCTGTTTATGAAAAAATACCAAATGAAGTTACAAATTATATTATGTCTAGTAACTTAAAACACGGTGTGTCTAGCTACTCAGTAAATTTTTACTCAGCGTACACTACATATATTAATTTATACAACAGAACTGTACAATTGATTTTCTGATTATTATAACTGTAGAATTGAAAGATGGAAGAATTCCTAATGGTTATGGTTCTCGCCTGGCCTTTTGGAAGGCAGAAGAACTCCACAAATTTGCCTTTCCAGCCTCTGAAGTAATATTTGCTGACCTCTTAGAAGATATGGATTATCACATTTGGCAACTTACTGTCAGGATGACAGAACTTGTCTTCTGTAAACGGGATGGATGGGTGCTCGATGATGTTCATCTTTTCTCCAAGTTAGCTCAACGCTACTTAGTGCTTACTAAAGAGCATAGGGGTCTGACTTCATGTACAGTCACTGAGCACAACCTTCTTCATATTCCTGACGATGCTATGCGGTTTTCACACCCTGACAACTACTGGTGTTTTCCATTTGAAAGGGCAGTGCGGAGGTATGTTACAACAAAGTCCAACTTTAAGAACATTGAATGCACCTATGCCAAAAAAGAAGCACAACGTGAATTGCTTCAACATCTCTCCTCTAGCATCAAGGATCAGCCCAAACAGTACAAGTTCTGCCTGGAAAAGGTATTTGAAAAGTTGTTAGTAGCCATAAAATGCCATCACTGCATTGTACATGTAAATTTTACACTGAAAGTCGCCATAATGTAATTACATTTCAGAATGTAATTGTGAACAAAAAGGAATTCCTGGGCTGCCTTAACTTTACATACAGTAATTACAGACTCAGTCATGAAGCCATTAGTTTGTTGTAGACATTACATTAAATGATATAATTGTAACTCCATTGTTATGCAGTCCACTAATACTTAAGGCATGTAAATGAATCCTAAAGAAAGGTTAGGACTACAAATAATATTGTTAAGCTAAGCCAAAAAAAAAAAGATGATTTCCACGGTGATTTAAAAATTTGAAAAGTTAAAGTTAGCTTTTGTATGGAAGAAAAACTACACAAAACTTTAAACCCTCCGTTCTATTTCTTGTTCTCATGTCAGTGATAATTCATACAGTGATCTTTAGCCAAATTAACTTTAGTTCTTATAATTATGTTAAGCTACAATCTGACTGAGAAAAATATTAACTTTTTTTCTAGATGAGTGCCACCAGTTTGGAAGGAGCAAGACACTTAAGTGACATTGCCAAAACCTCACCTCGTCATGAGAACTACAGCAAAAAGGGAATTCTTGTTGGTGGGTCTGAGAGAAATGAAGTCCAGCAGTCAAAACAGGATGTGGATCTCATCAAATCAAAGTTTACTGGGTCAAGTACATCAAGTGGTGAAGTTCTTGTTCCGGAAATAGCTTTGGCTTACAGAAGTCTTCTTTTACCACAACAAGGTATTCAAGGTCAGGGCCTATTGTACAGGACAGGAGAACATGTTTTTCTTAACATGAACAATGTCCAATCAGTTGTTTTGGTAGAAAAATTTCTAGGTCTTGAGATTGAAGGAGAATACCACAAGTTTATTCAAGGCCAGTTACTTCCAACTAAACAAGATGATGATGGTAAACTTGTAACATTTGCAAGTACTGGCTTTCCCATTTTATGCCATGGGAGTCTTTCTCAGAAGATTATTGTACCGGCGCCAAGTATTTTGAGAAAGGCTATAGTTTTTCCTAATCCTTCTGAGCCTTTAGAATCAATTGTTGTCGATTTTATGAGGAAGAGCATGCCACTGTCTCCAAACGATGTGGTAGTACCATTGTACCCAAAGGAAGGAGAGATGGTTTTCATCAACGGAACTGATCCCCAGCCATGGTTTGGAAGGGTGTTAAGTGTTGATGCAAATCACCAAATTGCCAAAGTTCTGTACTACAACAAGGTTGGAGAGAGGGAAGATGTATATGGGTCTGTTATTGCTATGTATTCCCCAGAAAGAAATCCTCGTTTAGCCAGTGATAAAGTTTCCTGGAACACTTTACTTCATAATGCTGATGGAGACTGGAATGAGGACATATGGGAAATGGTGCCAGTTGATTATTAATGGACAAACACTTTAGAACACCCTGAGATGCTAAGCTGTTTTTATCATCGGTGATTCATTATTTTGATTACTGGTATGAAACATTATGATGATGTTTTATAAAGATAAAACAATAAATCAGCCAACATCAAAACGCAAATGCAAGTCTCAATTATTTATGGTTTACTAAGACACAAGTCACAACAAACCACTGATAGTTGATATTGCATTTTATTTTATTTTATTAGCTGATCTGGTATCCCATTTATGGCTAAAAGTAAAAAACACATAATTTGGAGTTTTTAACTTACATTATTGCTGTTAACAACTGATGCTGTAGATTGTATTCCGTTAATGAGAAATTAATTAAACACAAGTGTCTAATTAGATTCATAATTTGATGAGAAATGATTAAAATACACAGACCGTTTTGTTAATGACATTGATGGGAAATAAATATACCAATAATGGTCCTATGTTATACACATTCATGGTTTTTATAAATCACAATAATGTTTTAAGTTCCCTAAAATCCCATAAATGGATTTCAATGTAAAACCATCCATGATTTTTCCCAGTCTTAATATTAATTGCTAAAAAAACACTTAAATTCAAAAAACACATTAATGTTATTTCAGTAGAAAAATTGGAAATCGCTCTTTTTCCCAATAATGTGTTTTTTCTAAAAATGGGAATTAGCAAAAAAACCTGGATGTTTTTTTGAAATTTTTTCCTGTGTACAGTTGAGGCATCTGCCTTTTCTTCGCAAAAAGGAATGACACACCTGCCCCAAAGGCAAAGCCTGTCTGGTCAACAGTGGTGATATTAG